AATGCATGAAACGAAGCGACCCGGTTGCCGCTCCGAAAGTATGTGCACACTCAATATTTTCATTTTAAAGGTAACTAAAGAACCTACCGTAACGGAACCAATCTCAAACGATTCCTCGTAGTGGATAACCTTTACGAAAATTCAGGGGGCCCTATTGATTTCTGATCTCGGTTACATTTTTATTTTTTGCTAAGTAAGCACATACTTTTGAAAAAGAGGAAAATTTTTTCTTTAATAAAAAATTATGTTAGCAGCTACGATGTTTCCCAAAGAAAGTGTTCGAAGGTTATAGCACACAAGGAATTCAATGGTAAAGATCACAGGTTACAGAAAGCAATGGTATCCCCAAAAAAACAAAATGTTGGGTGTGCACATACTTTTGAAACACACTGTAGTACATACGTCATAGCATTGCCTATATAAGCGAACCGAGAACATAACCAAATATGCAGCGATGGAGCAGTTGGTAGGGTGCCGGACTCTCGGGATGACCATGGAGGTTCGAATTCTTGATGCGTGTGCTCGTTTTGCTTTTTCTTGCTTTTGCTTTTTCTTTTCCTTTCTTCTTCTTTCTCGTTTTGCCTCCTAAACGTTTGCAAAATGCTTCTATACTTCACGTCCACCATCTACAAACTCCCTTCACCCATAAGGAACAGTGGAAGGCATTCTCAGGAATTTTTGCTCCCTACTGCTTGTCGAACATGGGTGTGTTTCAAGTCCTGTGAAGGGTATTGCGAAAGCATTGCTCAAATGAATTTGAGAGATTTTGGGCAATTTATGACGATTTCAAAGAAAGTTGACAAGTGGTCTATTGTATCAAAGCCCTCTTCCACAAATTACCGGCGAGGTGTTCTGTCCGAGAGTTGTGTTATCACATTTCCTAAAGAAATTGGGTTCCTGTGACGAAGTGCGAGCAACATCTAGGAAGGAACGTTAGTGATAGAGAGCTACTAGCCTATTCTGCGGGATGCCCCATATGACAACCTCGCTATCGACTGCGAAGGAGACGGTTGCATAGGAAACGATCACAATGGTCCCCTTCTGTCAGCAGATGATAGCGACAACGACGAACGACCCGGCACATCCAATCCAAAGAGGAGAGAACCTCGTACATTCTTGGGGTCATGGAGCTTTGCCTTTGTCCCTTCTATTATAGTTGCCCATTCATGGAGCTCATTCAAGCACCATGAATCAATTCAGGGTGCTTTATCAGCTAGCATGGCGGTAAAGGTGCTCAATATTCCGCCTGGCGCAACATCCCAAATCCAATCTCTCGATGTGTATTTCTCCTTGCCATTCAAGGCCATGTTCAAACATATCGTGTCCGATATTATCGCTCATGATCTTAATTTCCAAGTAATTAACCGCGACTCTCTAACTTGCTTTGTCTCATTAATGTACTTCTTGTTCGGCGCAAATTCTAACTTCTTCTTTAGCGAGTATTTCGGTCAAATGAGTCACCCAACTGTCTTCCTTCCCGTCGAGAGTGCAGCGTGGAGCTGTCATAAATTTGCAATCGCATTTTGAGTGTTTAGAATAGGACTGCATCTATATCCGGTGCGTAGGGTAAGAGAAACTCCCATTGCATTACCCTTTTCAGTATTCTTAGAATGCGAGGAAGTATTCAGATGGAGGATATAAAGCGGAGTTGCATTTTGCAAGCGTTCGAGGAATATTTCTTCAAAAAGCGAATCGAGCGCTTGCACCAAGGACCCGAACCTTTATGATCATCCTGAGAGTCCTACCAACTTCTGCATCGTTGCACGTTTGGTTATGTTCTCGTTCGCTTATATGGGCGTGCTATAACACAGGGGAGGGAATGGTGCCGTAGCTCTCTTCCCAGAATCGTTTAGGAGATATAGAAAGAGATTTTGAGATCCCCACTTGGAAGCACCTACGGCGTTATACATCTCATCTTATTGTTAGATGGCCACTGCGACATTGTATCCTTCCCTTGTGAGGGACAAAATGCACAACGAGAAGTTCATTGGACAAAATTTGAAGCCAGGGATATCTTCCCGGTGACGATGGACTGCAATAACTTTTTATAAATACAAAACATCATACCTTCCAAATCGGGGAATAGCCTGCAAGATTTGTCCAGACCCTCTGGCCGCCATCCGATTGACACCCACGATGTCGAGGCAAAATCCAATATAATCTCCACATCGCTCTGAGGAAGTTTTGATTCAAAGAGAGAAAACATATGATACAAGGATCGCATAAAGTTGATCACATTCATTAACCATTCTGCACTGAATTTTCAATTAACATGAATTACGCACGTAATGCCTGAATAAGGAACCCCGTGTGTTACCTTTGCCCGCAACAGCTCACCCATTTTGAGTACTAATATACGTGCATTTCATGCCTATTAAGACAAATTCCACAGCGGAGCTATGCCGAGCTCTTCTGCCGAGCTCACCCTCTCAAACAGCATGCTCGACTTACAACACTATCAAAACGAAACGAAAACTCGCTTCCAACACTCTCATCACTTCTTATGACATAAAGTCTGCTCTAATTACCTCCCATCTGCCTTACTGCCTCTTTCTACAACACTCGCCAAAGTACTCGCAATTACATCCCAGTAATACGTGAAGCGGGCGGAGGTGATGTAATGGCAAGTGGCATACCACCTCACACGCATCGGGTTAGAACCTCGGATCGATATCGGCCTAGACCAACTAAGCCTTCCATTCCTACGATGCCGGTTACTTGGTACCAGACTCGTCTGGGAGGGTAAAAGCACTGACTTGTACATCAGCTGGCCACCGCAAGTCATTGTGTTGTTCAGTAGGTGTGTTTGTTGGTTTTTGCGTCGAGNGCGATGAGTCGAGTGCGGGGGCGCATCCCTCAGACGGGATTGATTAATGCCAAAAAAATCTAACTCGTTCTCATTGAAGTTTGAAAATTCAAATACTTTTAAACTTCAATTCGTGAAGGAAGACGGATGCGCCTACTCTTCTATACTCTTCATCAGCTGTTATAACTTTCTGCTCACCAACCGTTTTAATTCAACGCCCCCTAAACGACTATTTTTCTGATAACCAGCAATGATAGTAGGCCCATTCACTTTTGCCTTGGGCCCCTTGTCGGCTATTATGTTTTACTATCACCCCTACGACCCGTAATCTGTAAAACAATCAAATTGCACCCAATACAACACTGACGAAACGTTATAGTTCCGTGCGAAAAGTGCAGCTGTTCCAGAGACCCTTTTTCTTTTCTTCCAAAGCTCCTTAGCGTCCTAATTGACTACAGATTTTTCCTTTCACCCATCATTTTTTCCCATCGCTCGTATTGATTCCGAATCTGAACGCGTAAGTATCATATCATAATCATCATAAGCATAAGTATAATCATAAGTATCACACACGCACACAAAATGCACCCACGATCAAACATACACACCGCCTCTTAAACAGACACATTTAGCAAATTATATTTAAATCGGTCGGATCACCTGGGCGTCCCTTGTTTCCAAGACGTAATTTGGAATTTTGTCTTTATCAGATCAATTGATACTAATCCGACCACGAAGATTTCTCGAAATTGACGAGAAATTGCCAAGAATAATGCGGGTGCTACAAGTTTGACACACGTCCAGAAAAAATGGATGTCGGTCATCAGGGGAACAGGTATTTAATACATCATGACTGTTACGGATATGATTACAGAGGTCAACCTGTTCTTCTTGATTTAGAAATTTATTCTCGGAATCTGATCCATTCCTGTATTGGGTCTGACTCGCGACTTGATTATAATTCAGCAATCGCATCAGTCAACTGAAGGCTCGGAAGGATGATTACTGATGTTATCAAACGATAACAATATAGTCAGAAGTTGTTGTCATTCAAGAAATCGACTATCCTCGTCTTCAAAGATATACGCGTGTCCTTGATCAATAGTGATTAGACAAGTTTCGTCGTCATCAATCTCGAAATGGAGGAAGAATGTGAGTGTGCCGCAAATCATGATGCATAGTGGCCGGTTCTGATTCAAATCAGCATTTATCTCTGCGATTATCACTTTTATCCATCCTTATTCACGCTATGATTATTTATGCAACAGCCAGGGGTATCAAGGCTGCATCGCAAACGTGAGACTGTTTGGGAAGTTTCCGCCGATAGTCAGGCTGTTTAGATGTGAAAATTTCCCAGAGAACAAATCCATTTATAAGGCATCGTACACTGCTTTTTGCTGGACAATGAATTGTCTTCTTTCCAGAAGTTTCCTGTCCACTTCAGTAGAAAGTATTTTAAAGAACTATTCAGTTGAGTGTTGCCCCTCCCCTGGGAATACAGTTAAGAAAGGAGTTCCGCACAGATCTCTGAAATAAGAGCCTGGTGGTGCTATATTCGGATTACATGGAAGATATCTCCGTACAAACTTCAGTGATTTTTGACGATTCGTCAAAGATACTCGAAGTCTCGCGCTGTCCTGGTGAAGGACCACATTTTTGCGATTGGCTTCTTTTGAGCGCTTTTGCTCTATTGATGTCCTCAAGTGTTTCAACTGTGTAGAGTATTTTCAGGAGTGATCTGAATATGTTATTCTTTTCAGACCAATCCTTTCCCTTTCAGTGCCACAAGCAAGAGAACAATAAGCTCCGGTGCCTGAATAATGGTTTTTGGTGCGGTTAGTAACGGCTCGTCGGGTTTCCCCGTGATCGTTTCTGCTCTGCGTTGTCGCATGCCATCCACTTCTCATCTCACTACCATACGTTTCAGGAAAGGTTCTCGTTACATTTAAGCATTGAGTTGCAGGAGGAAACGCGGTCGAACAGGTTGCGATCACTAAGTTGGTCAGGTAGCCAAAGATCAAGGCGGCTTCCCAAATAATTTCTATCAAGTCTCCATAAATAGGATTGACAGATCCATGAGTTTTGACGGATCGAGCCTCCCCTCTATTTTTGAGTAGTCATGCACCTATTCGTCTGAAATAATCGTCGATTTGATATTATCATCTGAAACTGGTCTCGATGACCGCCTATATTCGAGAGTGATTTCACATTGTCGAAATCGTGTAACTCCATCATAGACTATACCATCTGATAAAGCATTGTTTCTGTGAATATCACACACATTTTTTGCCGTTTAAGTTGCACTTCTGCTTTTTCGGTATGTCATCATGTTTCAAAATGCTTCCGATGATGCTCCTCTGATGCAGAACGGAGCTCAAGAGATCTCAACCTACATCAAACTGTAAGATATATAAATTTTCACCTTGTTGGAGAAAATATAATTTATTAGCATTGTATCGAAGACTTTCTGAAGTCTGACTGACTGACTATGAAAATTCGGTGCATCCAAAATCGTCAGTATTCCGAACAAAAGCGATTCCTGCTTTCTACAGTTCGTTACCAGCCCTTAGCACCAATCTATGGTAATAGACGTCAACAAACAAACACTTATATACATGAACACTTAGCTAATTGTTCAAAGTGGGATACTAAAATGTTTATTTTTATTTTCCTCCAATTGTTCTATTTATTTTTCTCATCAGGAGATTCATTTGAATACTGCCCTGACTAGGAACTAGGACATACTTCCGACTGCACAATGAAAGAAAGACTAGGTGGATTACCTCTGTTTTACGGTAATAAACGAAGTCACTGTCGCTAAACTTCTTCATATTGTAGCAGTCTGGATCAAACATTCCGTAGGCATTGAATCGTTCTTCATGGACTTCTGCATAAGCAAAACACTCATCTTCACCGCTTACGTAAGCTGAAAAACACAGTACGATCGATGGATTGGTCGACGTCGGATGACCGCTTGATGTTTTTCGATTTAGGACCGTGGCCGTGATTCGTTCGAATTGCGAACTTTTGCTATTAAGTGGATATAGACCATCCTCGGATTCACTCGGGGAATATGTTTTCGCTCATCGTTATTCTTAGGGTGTTCCTACTCTCCTTAGTATTGGGTATCACCGATCCCTTGTATTCTCAGTATTATAAGCACACAATTAACTTACACTTTTCACAGTTTTTGCCAAAGAAACCATAGCTGCAATAGCAGCTAGCAAAAACCATTGAGTTGAATTCCACTATACATTTCCCACCATTGAGGCAGTCTTCATCGAAACGACAGTTGGCTGAAATCTCATTTCACCAGCCCTAGGCTCAATTACATAATATAATAATAGGAAGACCACGCTTGAAGTGGTTGACTAAATGTAATAATGGAAGAGTTGAACAAGTTTGGTTAGAATCCTTGAGGATAAAAAGTGAACTGACCGAACATCCACACCCAAACATTTCTCACAAGTTCGGGATAGGACACTTAGAAATCAACCTGCATACTTATGAGTTCAAGTCGCTACTTATACGCTGGAAAATGGAATCGCTCGGCCTGCTGCGAACTATTCTCTTTTTTGCTACAGATTTGGAATGTGAGCTTGATCCTACATTGATCTTTTCGGAGCGAGTGATACATTTTGGCCACCCAGCGGTAACCATCGATAAAGCATTCGATCCTTCTTTTTATCGAGTCTACTGGCACGCTGACGTTTCTACAACTGAGCAATCGAGTCTTTGAGTAATTTTGAGTGAATTCAATGATCATCGAATGGAATGGCTTGAGACGGCCACTACATCACCCCCGCTTTGCAGACGACATCATGCTTATAACACCGAACATAGAACAGGCGGCGAGAAGTCAGTGATAAATGATCTAGCGTCAGAGCTGAGCAGAAGGAGACGCACGGCGTGAGGAGCATTTTAGAATATTAAGTGAGTAGTGAAGAAGAAGAAGAACATCGGGCTCCTCGGTCAACTTTTCCATACTGCTGTCCTTCCTGCTTTGACGTTCGTCCCAGAGAATTGGAGTCCACCAAAGTAGGATAAAGTATTTCAGCGCCGCTCAACGCGTTTTGGAAAGGACGATACTGGCAATTCTTATATACACGCAAGTGCAAAAAGAGTTCGGACATCCGAGTTCCGTCACTAACAAAGATCAGAGATGCCGCTGTTCACGCTAAGAATCCGAAGGTCAGGTGGGCACGTCATGCGATATCGTGATGTTCGTTGGAGCAGGGCGATTACTGACTGGATCAAACGAACACCAGGACGGTCACCAGCGCGATGGTCAGACTTTTTCACGAAAGCTCTCAACGAAAGGAGTTATATGCCTCGTGTCTCTTGAGCGAGGACGATCCATAGATCTAGCTCGTAACATGAACGAATAGAGACGCTGCTAATGATCGGTCGAGGAAATCGACGATGAACGGGAGGCAGATATTCAGTGTAATATTGTTGGACGATCATAGAAACACTCAAAAGATCCTTATTCATGACTATTCCTATCCTCATGAATGTTCCCATTTAAAGTTTACGCGTCCTGAACTACCGGCCTCTGGATAGGTGCATCGCAGCAGATACCGGAATGGTGAAAACATGTGGTTTTCTTTCGAGTTGCTGTCCTGATGTGTAGTGGCTGTCATCTAACAGTATAGAGTTAATCGAATTGTATGTGATTTAATTCCAACTTTGATTCGCCCTCATCGCTGCACTTATCACTCACTATTTGTGGCGTTACTTTACCTTCTCGTCCTATCCTGTGAAACATGTTAAGACTACATCAGGAATAACAAAAGTTCCTCATCAGCCTTTAATTTTCCATAATCCTTGATCACTTTCATCACAATCATGCGAAGAGTTTGAGACAGTATGCTGTATGTAATTGAGACAAAGCAAGAAGTAGAGAAATTAAATGTAAACACTTCTTCTCACTTTTATATTGACAAATGTCGCCATTGTAGCCACGTTCACATGCACAGCGACCGTTTACCATTGTACCGTGACCGCTACATTTAAGGTTGTCTGGAAGAAGTTGGAACTAGGAAAGATAACCACAAAAATATCAATTCAAAGCGTATAGTGACTGAAAGGATGGAGGTATAAGAAACGATTAACGGAATATTAAGGCAAATATCGATCGATACCGCCTTATAGACCCTCACAAGCGGCTAAGGCACTTCTTCTTCAACGCCTTTGTTTTATATATACCCTTGAAGTTGCACTATTGCCTTATTTTATGTGTTCTCTATTTATACAAGTTGGTTCCAGAAGTTGATATCTTTTATACTACGTCTGCCTTAGCGGCGAAATAAGCATAACATAACATAAGGCGCAAAACCTGTCTTCTTACATGGAGCTGTGCCCGGTAGAGCTGCAGCAGCTGCTGCTGGATGAGAACACCACAGCTAAACTGAACAGCCGACCTGACCTGGGAACGACCTTAGAGCATCTAGTCAGGAAGGCGTACAGTCTCGCAGCAAAAGAACTGCAACAACTGATACATATTTCAGCACAGATCGTTTTGAAAAGTTGGTCACACTTGCAAGGGATGCCCTGCAAATCAGGTTTAATTGAAACCGGTCAACACCCAAAAACCTAGTGAACTCAAGGTTAAATGAGAAATGCATTCTCATTAAAGAAGAGCTGAAGAAGTTTAATAAGTTCGAACTTAGTACCAACGTTTGAAAAAATGAAGAAATGTATTGTGTGAAGTGCTCACACTGTAGTACGATCTCAAAAATTCACGCGAATACCACAAACTCGCGTGTATTTCGTATTTTCTCCATTGATTTAGAGTGGAGTAATCCATAGCTGAACAAACCGATGAACTCAGCTCATCGGGCTTTATAAGCTCATCCCCTGATGTATTAACACGTTGGCGACCATGCGTCCCGATGCCAGGGCGCACGTTTTGGGCACGCTGGAGTATTTATATTATTTATCAGGTGTTCCTATCATGCTTTCATGTCATGACCGTGTCTATCATGTTTATTGTAAGGACTATATAAAAGCGGGGTCGTCAATGGATTAAGAATGCTCCGTTTTGTATTGCGCATGCTCTTAAACTTTAACCGAAAAGTATTTGCATGTACATAGTATGGAGGGCACGCTTTAGTGCTTGTAGGGGCTCGGTCTCCGAAGATCAAAAATCGTTCTAGAGTGAGCCACGTACTCGACTTTATTAAGTACAATGTGAAAATGACTGATCGATTTTTATCACTTTCCATCGTTGTTTTCCAGTGTGGAATCTGTAGATGACTGCTTCTGCACTCTCTTCACTCAACACTGCTCCTTACAAGTTCCACTGCGATTATGACATCACTTACGCAAAATAACTGATTCGTTTTTTTTTTGACATTTTTCAATCTTGGGAGAAATCATTCCCCGAAATTTGGGGAGGTGACAACGAGACACTTCATCATGAACGACTCTTTGTTAGCTGCAAAGAAGTTTAGTACACCTCATCATAAACCGAAATTTCTTCCTTGATATGGCGCCAATCTTCACTCTTCGTCACGTCCAAATCAGAAAATTATGTTCTTTCCCTTTCCTTTGATCTTTTGGTGATTAAATTGTACATTGTTAGATTCCCAGTGAAAATACTATCCAATGAAATATGGATCAAATAGTGACGGAAACTTTCCTTCATAATCATATCCTGCCGTAGGCTCGTCGCTGAGCGGTTTCCTGCTGGGCGTGTTTAGATATGTATGAGACTGGGTACTGCAGTGGTGGGGAATTGGGGCAGTATGTATGGAATTTTATGAAAGGTCTGAAGGGGCAGTGGTGAGAATGTGGGCGGTTTAAACAAGAGCTATAGATCTACAGGAGGCGAGGTATTGTAGGGAAAAAGAGCGCGGGCTCGAGTTGGGAAAGCATGTGGGGTCGTAAAAACAAAACGAACGCCCGGGTTCTCGATGATGTGCTGGCTAAACTTGTGTCTAGAAACTTCTTGAGCTCATTCGAAACTGTTTCTTACCCCTGCAGATCTTATACCCCATGCGAAGATCCCCATTCAAATTCCAATTCAAATCGCCCAACGTTCTTGCGGCTACAGTACAGCCCGCGGCCAGCGGATCCAACCCCCCATTTGAGGGTGACGAAGAGCAAACTTTAGGGCCATACCAAGGGAAAAGTTTTGATTCTCTATACGGTATACTTATAACAGCTTCGTCTTCTATAAGGTATACTTATGACAGCCTCGCTCAGATTAAAGAGTCTCTACGACAGTAGAGAATATTCTTTCGGAAAAATCCCTACAAAGATTGGAAAATGTTCGAAAATCGACTCAATTATTCTGTCGTCAATTCATGTTATATTCTCAATAAAACTGTAAGGGGGAGTGCTGAGTGTAGAGAGTGTAGATGCAGTCTTCTACAGCTTCCACATCAGAAACGAACGGTGAACACTGAAAAAAAACGATCAATCATTTTCGCTCTGTACTGAGTTAAGTCGAGTACGTGGCGCACTCCAGAAGATATTCTTAACATTCTTAGAAACCAATCAACCCCTTCAAGCACTGAAGCGTGCATCCCATGTACATGCAAGCCTTTGGTTGGAATTCAGGTGCATGGTACAATCTAAAACGAAGAATGCTCAATATTCAAGCTTCAGCTTATGAAGCTACACGAGCTGGATGGGATTCCACGAGCTGAGGGCATCTTCATCTTCTGGATTACCGCAATCTGGAATGATTCATGGAGAGAAGGCGAAAAAGACGCGAGCTCGCAATATTCGCGTGAAAATTCGAGTTCTTACGGCGAGTATTATAGTATTAGGTTTAGTTTTTCAGAGCGACTATGTGGAAAAGAGAAAACTTCGACATCTGAGGCTTGATTAAGGGCAGTTTTTCTAAAGAGCAGTGGAGCATGAAGAGCTTATCGGTGCTTTTCATTTTTAGAACACTTGGCAAAATCCAGAAGAAAGAAACGATCGTGAAGCACATTTCCATACTGCACTGTAGATAAACCGACGTATGCTTCATAATTTGTTCCATACAAGTAGAAGTGAACCATGTATTGACCAATTTGATGTGCAATTTGAGCACAAAAATTACGTACTAGAAGCTTTGTGGAAATTGGCTGCCTTTCTTTAACGTCCGAGTGAGGTTTGGAAAAGATGATCGTTCTTCCAAACGGGACGAAAAGCCTGGCAATCGACCTCTAGTCGTTCACTAGGAGTCGACGCATCCTTTCCAAACGAAAGGAGCAATAATCAGGAATATGTTTCGAACCGCTATACAAATCAGCTCGAGAGAAAATGAAATAAAGGAATTAGTCAAAAAAATGAGTATAGCATGCTGTGTATATGCTGAACTCTACTCGTATAAGCTACCTCCGCCATCTCGTAGAGCAGATAGAGGGAACAAAGGGACGAAGGTCTAGTTCACTTCATTCCACACAGAAAAAAGAGCGCCAACGTTTTGAACAGTTGAATACGTAGTCCTAGCGCAAAATTTCATTTGCGGTACCTTTGATATCTGTCAAAGTAAGCAGTTCCATAAGTACACGTCAACGGAAAACGGGTCCTGAAAAATTGATATCGTGGAACACGCTCCTGACAATTTGAAGCGAAGTTTAGCATAAAATTGTATTTATGGTAGCGCATGTGCAATATCTAACTGTGTTAGGGGTTGTTTTCCATGTGTATTTCCGAAGCTCTTGATACTCCACTTTATTGGTTAGCTTTCGGCATATAATGCCTTCTTCAGACCTTAACTTTACAATACATAGTTGCAAACGACCAGTCAACAATCAGTTACTACATAGAACACATCGGATCCTATCAAAC